AACAAAATTAACCAAAGTCAAAGATACTTTATTCAATATCCGAGACCAATACTCAACTACAGATAATACATCATTAAAGAATGAATCACCACATCCAAGAGTCAATATAATCCAACACCACAGACTAAATGCAACCAAATGATATTGATAGAAGTAAAATCAACATACCATCATAAAAAAACCATGTAAGTTTAACGACACAATCCTCTGCAACACCATTCAGTAAAGCAAATCTATCACTATTAAATCATTATTAAGCAAAGCAAATATCAACAGTTTTCAACAAAGTCTACAAACAATTATTAGTTGTAAAGCAACTAACAATCACTCTTCAATTTGCCTTCATAAACCCAAACACTAAACTCACGTCATTATATTATATACTTATCTAATAGAAAGGTACACTCTAGTATTAGATATAAGAACATGGACAAGGATGAACTAAATAACCACTTGAATCCAATCGAACCGCAATAAGCTTACCAACACATATAGCTAATAGCTCCAAATATAACCAAAGAGGTTAGCTATGTATGATCAACAATCAATCATAACTAAAGTGAAGACTATGAAATAAACTCATAAGGTACACAACCTCCTCATAAACAAAGTTATAATATAGGTATTAACACCTCAACTGCAAACAACTAAGTTGGACATTACCATCCTCAGCCAAAGTGCAATGCTAGCAAGATCAAATCAGAGTTTACTACTTTTATAGAGTCTAATAAAATGTAAGGTGCAATCTACCACTAAGTATAGCATTATAAAAGAAAGGCATAAAGGTCACTTTTTTATAAAAGTGTAATAACTACTTTTCTACACCATCTTTAGACTCTATCCAACTCAATTGTTTCAACTTCAAAAATCAATATCCCTTTCATTTGCATTATACAAACTACCTAAGCCAACCAAAAAAAATTCTAACCCTTTCACTAACTTGTATTAGATGCTCAAATGTAGAGAATTTAGAAATATTAAAGGTATAGATGAAACATTTGTAAAGTTTTCTAAATGTTAGATTCTTTACTTTATTTTTCAAATGGTGGACTCACATATAACCTCCAACTATGCCTGAAGGAAGTGGTTAAGTGATTATATATAATGAATAACAGAACTGATATTCCTACTAGTGTATCATATGAAACTCATCTAAATTAAAAAAAAAAAAACAGACTTGAGCAGAAATGCAAAAGCCTTTCAAGATCCTACTCTTTATTTTGTAGGAAATTCAGCACCTAGCTCTCCAAATTTGCAGCATGCCGAGACTACATTGCAACGTGTTGGGATTTCTTCTATCCAGTGCTTCAATTCAATGATTGTTGATTTTGTATGGTGATTCCAGGGCAGCAGTAGGGAAGATGATGATGGAGTTTAGTAAATTTGGATACTTTTGAAGTCAATTGCTATAAGATATAATTGCAGTGATTCATAACTAATTTAGTATTTCTAATGTGGGTGGGAGGTGTGGGAGCTATGTGCAAAGGTGGGAGAGCATGGCACAAATTTACAGAAGAGGGTAAAAAATAAAAAGGAGGGGCACTACTAAGTCACTTTTGGAATAGTATATTGTTTAATGGGAGTTCTCATGTACCAGCCTAGCCTTAGCCACTCTATGTTCCCCCCATATTTTCTTGTATTCTTTATCACATAGGCTTTGACCTATGATAATTAATTCATCTTCTTTGACACTAACTACAAGAATATTCCAAGAATATTCTATGGTCTGTGTCATCTTATATAGTATATTCAAATTGCATACCTTGACCTTTTAGTAAAGGTTGAAGTGGTTTTAGGATGAATATGATACACACAAAAGAGCTGTAGGGATTTTACACTTTTCGTTGCATTGCTAAAAAATAATGCATGTTAGCCATGTGAGTATTTTCCAAGTTAATTAAGAAATCTCTAATTTTTTTCAGAGCTAAATTGATATGTTTTGTTTTTGTGCTCCAGTTTTGTATATCAATCTAAATTTGAAAAGAAACAAAAAAATATTAAAGATCTCTCAGTTAACTTATATTGTCAAAGAGTATGTTGTTTCTTAGCACAAGAATTATAAAATCCTTACAACTCTCTTATGATTATGTTGTATTCGTCCTGAAACCATTTCAAGCATCTCACATTAATCACAATGTCATTTATTATAAATAATTGTTCAACCACTTTCTTCAAGCATAGCTGAGAGGTTGGATGTGTTACCTTTAATACTTCTAAGTTTCTACTTTGCATTTAGGCCAAAAAATTTCGAGAATGATTTTCCACACCATCACTTTAAAACATAAAGAGCTTAAAACATTATATTATACCTTATGCTTTTCCAATCAGCCATCTATGCCATCTTTTCACTATTTATATTTTTGTACTTCATTAATCATCAAATCCCTTGTGACGTTGTTTCACTACATGACTTCATATCTCTAAATAATTTTCAGCCTAAAACATCAGATATAAATATCAACTTTGTAATTCAAGTATAGCATACATCATAAAATAACACACACAAATCAACCAAAACATCCACTGAACTTTTCAAATATTTAAGTTGGAGTTGAATCTCTTATTGCTCCTCCAACTCCTCTAACTCCTCCAGTTCCTCCAACTCCTCTAACTCCTCCAACTCCAAACTCCTTTAGCTCTAGCTGGAATCATATATAAACTCCATAAAATGCATGGAACTTACCACTCACCCTTTTCAAATTTGTGGATGCACTCTAACTCTTCTACAATGCTCTATTGTTCCTCTAACTCCTAAATTATATATGAATTTGTTTCCCACACAATTTACAATTTATCTCTAGAATGCACATGGGCTTCTCAATAGTGAGCTCTGGCTCTCGTTCCACAAGAGGACCTTCATGGAAAGTTTTAAGCTCCATGAAAGTCAACCTAAATTTACCTCCATTGCTGTTGCTCCTCCATTTCACTTAGATTGGGTGCTCCAGCTTCATTTCCATCTCTAACTTCCCATAGTGCTCTTCTAATAGCACTCTTCCTCTTCTGATAGTGCTCTTCCCCTTCACTTAGGGCTTTGGTGCTCCTAACTCAATCACTCCTCAATGCCTTAGAACAAAAGCTTGCTTCTTTTTGTAAGGAATTTTAACCCTTAACTTTTATATTCTAATATCATATATCTTATCCACCTTTACCAAAGACCATCCCTGAGCTTGAAAGCAGCACTCAAGCTGGAGTGTATCCTATGGCTCTCATCTTGTGCAAACCTTGTGGAAAGATTGAAAGTGGTTGGATCATCTCCTCCTCTTTGAACTGCAAGTAACAGTCAGCTCACAATCGGAATAATCCAAAACAGCTTACTTGTCTTGCTTCTCAACATGAAAGACCCGTTTCCAAAACTTTAAGCAACTTTAAACAAAAAAAAATACCTGTGACATAAACTTACATATCTTCTCGGGGCTTATACCATCTCCATGGACTGCAAGAGCATGGACACGTAAACTCAGATGATCATTGTTTGAACAAGAAAGTTAACTTTTTGCTTCTTTATTTTTTCGTTTCCTCTCATTTCACAAGTAACTCTGCCACTTCCATCAAGATTGACAAAGTCACCAATTTTTGTGATGGAAGCCCATGTCTTCTTTTATGAGGTGTGTGTTTTCCACAGATCTTGGAAGCAAACCTTGGCCCAATTGATAAACTCCACTCTATCAAACATTGACCTGGATCCTGATACCCTGGATCAAAGGTGACTTAGCCAGGATCCTAGCTCTTACCCATGGATCTAACACTATGGAGAGGGACTCAACATTGCCTGTCAAGAGAAGCTGGGACTCGATAGTGCCTGCTGAGAGAAGCTGGGACTTGACAGCACCCACCTCACGAGTCTGAGAAATCAACGCCACAAATCCATGACTGGGTGAGTGAGCACAGGCAGATTGATCAGACCTGGGCTACATGGCAGTGACAGCAGCAGTGTAGCGAGGGCGGCATGCTTGAGCATTAGTCAGGGTTAATCCTACCCCCCAAATTCAAACAATAGAGTCCCATCAGCAGTGGTAGTAGCGCCGGTCGTCACTCCATCGACAGCAGCGGGTCAGGATATTTTACGCTTACAAAGTGGTTATATCACTCGTGAAAGTTAGCATGTTGAAATAAAAAACACTGAATAGTAGTTTCAACTGGCTTGCTCCTGATCTAGTGAGTTTGAGATTGATTGGAAAGTTAATGATAAAAGCATACCAAAAACTCATCAATCAACTATGTTCTTGGTTTTGGCTTGTTTGCACATCATTGTTGTGGTTTCAAGCTTGTCATTACCATGTGGTCTTGGCTATCAGGCTCCCACTTCTGCTGCTACAAATCTCCATAAGCATCCTTCTTAATTGCTATAAATTCTTGAGAGAATTACCATGCAATGTTCTTGAATCATGGCCCAATTCTTGATGTAGATTATTAAAACCTCTCAATCTACTGGCTTTATTCTCTAGTTGCTACTGTTTTTATATAATGCAATGCCTCAAGCATTCAGTGCATCAAACGCCTTGAAGGCTCATCCTCCTCCTTGTCACTAGCCTCTTGGCCAGCAAGTGCCATGCGCAAGATCAAGGAGCCAATGCTCTAGTACCATGAAAGTAGTGAAGAGACATGAGACTAGTATACTGAATACTGTGTTGTGTACTATGTGTACATCTGCCCAGCTCCAACCAAGCACACAGCTGTTTCACACAGTGTAGAGGAAGGGACACAACCAACCTTGGACAGGATGAAATCGACATTCATAAGAAGCTGGACAACCTGAGGAAGGTAGAAGTGGAACGACGGAGAAAAGAGTGTCTCATGTACCAGCAGGGCTGTCAAGGTAGTCCTAAGACTCAAGAAGCAGGAAGTCTTGAAAAATGCCAAGGAACAACCACAGAGCCAAGGCATGGCTAGGAAACAAGTAGCCTAAATAGTCTAGCCCACCAAAAAGGATGAGATTGAGGGATTATAGTAAACTATTTTGATGATCTCTTAAACTGTTCATTTGCTGAACTTTTCCAATCTTCCTCTTAAATTTTTAAGAATATAATTCATTCTTTTATTCATATTCTGTTTACATGGTTTTGCAGCACTCAGATAGAAACATGAGACTGAGGGATTTAAATAGGTTGCCCAGATGATCGATGCATTTCTAATACAGATAAGAAATCTAGTGTAATAACCACCTTGACTTCTGCAAAACCAGCAGCATTTGCTAATGCCTCAAACTCTTCCAAAGTTCTCTCCTTCCCTCCTGTATAAGCTAGCATGAGCAAGTCCATGTTAAGTGCAAATCTAGAGCCAAAGCTGTGGTTTGTCCCGGATGGCAATATAGAGTCCACCACCACTACCTTTCCTCTGCTCGGGAGTGATTCATAGCAATTCTTTAGTAAAGTGATGCATGCTTCATCCTTCCAATCGTGCAAAATCCACTGTGCAAGTTAAAAAATGAATGTTTCATATCCCAAAAGAATCATAAATCTCACCTTCATAAAAATGACATCACCCTGTGGAACTTTATCAAACATATCACCACTCACATGCTCCACTCCTGAATCCAAAAGAAGTTACAAAGGAGTAATGAATAAAATCAGAGCTTACCCGGGAAATCTGGAGCTTTAGATATAACATGAGGCAAATCGAAATTAATCCCTTTGATTCCTTTGTGGCGACCAAGAATAACTCTTAAGCTGTTTCCAATACCTCCGCCAACATCAACCAGAGTTCTTACCCCCTGGAAACCATCGTAAGCTTCTACAATCAATCGCATGTAAGCATTGGAGTTATCGGACATGGCAGAGTCGAATATCCCCCGAAACCGCGGGTTATCGGCTGTAAGATCAAACAGCGGCTTTCCATGCGCAGCAGTAAAGGGGTCAGCTCCAGTGGTCACAGATTGGTACAAAAACTCCCAAGTTTTCATGAAAACCACGTCTTGGTTGACAATCACCCAGGAAGAAAGTGGCAATCCACCATTGCTGGGATTTGTGACGAGGTACCTGCAAAGAGGAGTGACTCCATACTTCCTGATTCCTCCATCGTGGAGAGACTCTTGAAAGACTCCAATGCTGGACAGGACTCGGAGTATCCTGTCCAAGTTGGCTCCACTTCCGGATGATCCACAGGCCGGGATTTGGGCGATGATTTCAGCAGAAGAAAGGGGGGCGTCTTGGGAACTTGAAAGGATATCTGGAATTCCCAGCTTGATCACTGCGTTTAGAGCGGATGGAATGCCACACATTGTGCCGAACTCCATGATTCTGAGACGATCATCGTCCTGTAAGACCAAAGAACCCATCGCGATGTAGGCAGCTCTGTCTCTCAAGTTCTTAAATATTCATATAGTTTAGATAATAAGCTCTAATCTTGCAACACCCACCTATTGAATAGAGAAGTTCCACTTGCATATACAAACGATTCCTTGGCAGAGCCTTATGGATGTTGATTTTCGGTCTTCTGTGGATATTGTCAAGTCGTGCACCATTTCCCGAGACCTTTCCAGAGGGAAAGAAATTCACGCACAGGTAAGTGCTGGGAGGCACTGTAGGAACCGATATCTCAATAACTTGCTGGTGGAAATGTATGGGAAATGTGGAGAAACTGAGCAAGCCCGTCGTGTCTTCGACATGATAAGAAATCCGAACTTATTCTCGTGGAACAACGTCTTGATTGCATATGCCCAGAACGGGAAGCTTCGAGAGGCTCAAAACATGCTGGAAAAAATGCCGCAGAGAGATTCTGTGTCCTGGACCGTCGTGTTATCAGCATATGCCGTTTCAGGGCATTTTGAAAAGGCCGAGCTGCTGTTCAATGAAATGCCGGAGAAGGACGACTTTGCGTGGAATACTATGGTTTCAGCTTACGCTGGAGGCGGGTTTTTGGAAGAGGCTGAATCTGTGCTTAAGGCAATGCCATACAAAGGCCCTGTTGCCTGTACGACTATGATTGGAGCATATGCCCAAGCTGGGCATATCGAAAAAGCCACCGAGATTTTCGACACGATGCCTCATAGGGACGTGATCTCGTGGAATGCAATGCTGGTGGCTCACGCGGAGAATGGCGATCTCTTAAAATCAGAGCAACTGTTCGATCAGATGCCCGAGAGGAGTCTTTCTTCATGGAATGCGATGTTGGCTGCGTGTGCTCAGCATGAAGATTTGGACAAGGCTAGAGATTTGTTCGAGAGAATGCCGCAGAGGAACATCCTCTCGTGGAACACAATGATACAGGCTTGCATCGAAGCTGGGAATTTCGAGAGAGCGTCCGCCTTGTTCCGTATGATGCCCGTACAAGATACGGTATCGTGGACGACGATGATAACGGGATATTCCCGCGAGGGACGTGTTGACTTGGCGAGGAGATTATTCGATGCGATGCCCGAGAGGGACATCGCCACGTGGAATGCGATGGTTGGAAGCTACACCGCGAGCGGACAGCTGGCGGAGGCACAGAGGCTGTTTGACAGAATGCACGTGCATGACGTGATTACGTGGACTGCCTTGCTGGCAGGGTATGCCCAGGCCAGGCAAATAGAAACAGCGGAGAGTATCTTTGACAAATTGCCAGGTAAAAATATCGTATCGGCAAATGTGATGTTGATGGGATACGCTGAGAGTGGCAAAATATTAAAAGTAAAGGCACTATTTGATAGGTTACCGCGGCATGACACAATGACATGGAATATCACCATTTTTGCATATGCCCAAACTGGGCATCTGGAAAATGCCAGAGTTTTGTTTGATAAGATGCCATGGGCGAATTTCACGTCTTGGAGGTGCATGATATTAGGCTACGCACATTATGGAAACATTACAGAAGCTAAGAAAATCTATGATAGCATACGAAGGGAGAACATAGCTTTGTGCATAGATATGATCGTAGGTTATGCCCAAAATGGGTATCTTGTAGAGGCCAAAGATTTATACGATGAGCTTGAGTTTGATAGCATCGTGGCATCTACGGCCATGCTAACTGCATATGCCCAGCACGGGCATATCACCGAAGCGCAAAATGTGTTTAAATCTCTGCCGTTCAAGAGCCTGATGTCGTGGACGGCTATGATCGCAGCATATACCCAAAAGGGGCATTTGCATACCGCAATGGAAATGTTCGTGAGAGTGCCCAACCGGGACGTGACGCTGTGGAGCGCGATCGTGGCCGCACACTCCCACCACGGGCACGGGAAACAAGCGGTGGAGATCTTCCGGAGGATGATCGTGGATGGTTTTCTCCCAAACGAGACCACTTTCGTGTCGATCCTCGCTGCTTGCAGTAGAGCCGGACTGGTGGACGAATCGATCGAGTTCTTCGTGACCATGATGGCCGAGTGTGAGATTCCACCAAGCTCCAAACACTACGAGTGCTTGGTGGATCTACTCGGACGCTCCGGCCAGCTCAAGGAAGCAGAAGAGTTATCGCAGAGATTCTCGAAAGGAAACTTACCGGGGAGGAAGTCGACACTGCTCGGTGCTTGTTCGCTCCACGGTGACGCCGGGAGAGGGTCGCGGAGTGCTCGAGAGATGGATCCCTGGGACTCGGCAGCTTATGTCTTGTTGTCAAACTCTTGCGTTGGAGGATCGAGAGGAGTGTAACGAAAAGCTTTTGTTTTTACCTCCATGGTTGTGTGTGTATATGGTACAGGGAGAGCTTTCTCAAAGTGACTAAGAGCTTTGTGTTCCTCCGCTGTTCATTCGTGCCCTTGCTTCCGCAAACATACGTTGCTGCGCGGCGATGGCTTCCTCCTCCGTCATCCCCGAGCCTGCTTCTTTACCCCATTTGCCTCCAGCTTTTGGAGAATCCTGTGGAAAAGAATAGGAGTCAAGCGAGAAGAGAAGAACAAAAGAAAAAGAGAAAAGAAAAGCTTGTACCAAAGTTTCGTTTCGGTGTTGTTCATACGCTGCATGAACTTCTTCAATGTATTCTCCAAATCCGAGAATCTGTACAGGAGAAAAGTTAGAGAATCGAAGAAAGTTAAATCGCGTTACCTCTAGAGCTTTTAGAACATGCTCTGGAGCAATAGTTCTTTTTTCTTCCTTGTTGCAAATCTCGTTCGACTCGGACGAGATAAGATTGATAAACTCTGGACAGGCAAAAACTTAGCTCAAAACCAGCAAGAAAGCAAAACGAGAGGAAAATTTTTTCTTACCAACACAGCAATCTACAAGTAAGTCCTGAGCGTCTCGTGCCACTCGAACTTCCGGTGGCAGCATTTCTTTGATGATCTTCGTCATCGTAGCTGGAAGAAAAAAGGAAATTTTTTAGAACCAAAGGGCTAAGCAAAAATTTTGAAGCACTTCGTTGAGAAATTTTACCTTTAGGCAGTGAAACATCCTCCTTTGATCTGCTAGCAGCATCCATGGTCATGGAGAACAAGAGAGGCAAAACACCTCAATTCAGCCCAGAGGTGGAGATTATCTCATGACCAAGCGTACCAATCCACGATCGAGTGGATTGAGCCTCTCGAGAGCGCCAAACCCTAGAAACAACGAAGAACCCTAAATTTTCTTCCTTTTAGTTTTAACGGGGGGAAACTTTCTCGAGGCTATGATCGCGGCGCGGCGATCGAATGCCGTGGAAGCGCTTGCTCGTCGCCACCGCCAGCATCGATTTCCTCCGCCGCCGCTGGATCCACTCGAGCTCTGCGAGAATATTTTCCAGCGAGGCGCTGGAATCGGTGCTCAACCAGATCGAGCAGGGCCATCTCACGGTGAAATTCGCGGATTCCTACGCCGATCTCATCCGCCGCTGCTGTGATTCGGGGTCCCTGGATCTTGCCAGGCGGCTCCACGCACAGGTCGTGATCGCGGGGCACGGCGAGAGCTCCTACATCGCAGGGCTGCTCGTCCATCTCTACGTCAAATGCGGGGATCTGGAGGGCGCGTGGCGCGTCTTCGATGCGATCGCCGTCAAGAACCGGGCGGTGCTGTGGAATATCTTGATCGGGGAGTACGATCGCATCGGGGATGGATGCCGCGCGCTGGATCTCTACAAGAGGATGGAGGCGGAGCCGGACAAGGTCACGTTCGTGCTGGCGCTGCGCGTGTGCGCGGGGCTGAGGAGCCTCGGCGAAGGTATGGCTGTTTACGAGCGATTGTGTTCTTCGATTCATCTCAAGCACGACATCAAATTGCAGAATGGAGCAATCAGCATGTTTGCGAAGTGTGGCGCCTTGGATCTGGCAGTCCGGGTTTTTGATCAGATGCCGGAGAGGGACGTGGTATCATGGAACTCGATCATCACAGCATTTGCCCACTCAGGGCATTCCCTGGAGTGCGTTCATTTCTACCACCGAATGCTGCTCGAGGGATTCCGGCCGAATGGAGTGACCTTCTCTGGTGTCGCTAGCTCTTGCTCGGGCAGAGAAGAGCTCGATACGATCCAAGCATCCATCGCCGCCAGCGACTTCCACAGCAACGTGGTTGTGAAGAACTCGCTCGTTTCGGCCTATACGAGGAGTGGGGACTTGAGATCCGCGAGAAAGGTGTTTGATAGCATTGAGGACAAGGATCTCATATCCTGGAACTCGATGGTGGTGGCGTATTCCCAGCACGGTCACGGTGAGGAGATGCTGGAGCTCTTCCGGAAGATGGACGTGGAGCCCGACTCTATCACTTACGCGAGCATCCTCGGGGCTTGCTCGGCGATGGAGCTGCTAGAACTTGGGAAGGAAGTTCATGCTCGGGTGTCGAGGAGCCGGTTTAAGTCGGATCCAGCGCTGGCGGCTGCTCTCATCAACATGTACTCCAAGTGTGGAGTGCTGGAGAGTGCCAGAAGAGTTTTTGACGGGATCCAGTCGGTGGATCCTTCGCCGTGGAATGCAATGATCTCGGGGCTTGTTCAGCACGGGAGAGCTCGAGAGGCTCTTGGGCTTTTTGAAAGGATGAAGGCCGAGAGCGTTCGGATCGACAAAGTCAGCTATCTCACCATCCTCAGTGCTTGCTGCGCCTTGGAAGATCTACACGAAGGCATCAGGATCCACGAGCATGCTTCTGCGTGTGGGATGGGCAAAGACTTGGTGGTGGAAACTGCGGTGTTCAACATGTACTCCAAGTGCCGCCAAGTCGACTTAGCTCGGAAGATGTTCGATGGGATGAACGAGAAGACTGTGATTTCTTGGAACGTGATGATCGCAACGTACTCCCAAGCTGACGACAAGCTTCTCAATCGGCAAGGACTAGATTTATACGGATTGATGGAGGCTGAAGGCGTTCAAGCCGACGAGAGAACTTTCATCCACTTGCTGAGTGCCTGCGTCAACTTGGGAGCAGTGGAAGAGGCTCGAGCTATTCACAAGAGAATCCTGGCGAGCGGATGCAAGGCAAGTGAGGTTTTGGAGACGGCAATAGTCACCATGTACGCAAGGTTCGACATGCTGGAGGCTTCGAGGAGTAACTTCGATAGGATGGAGAAGAAGTCCGTGACTGCGTGGAACGCGATGATCTCATCGTATGCTCAGCACGGCCAGGCCAGCAAGTCGCTTCTACTTTTCCATCAGATGAGTTTGGAGGGTGTAAAGCCGGATGCCAGAACTTTCGTCAGTGTTATTGGAGCGTGCTCAAGCCTCCAGGCGCTTGAGAAAGGCAGAGCGGTGGAGGAACAGGCAACCTCTATGGGAATTGAGGAAGGAAGGACTGCGCTTTTGAGCTTGTACGCCAAGTGTGGAAATTTAGAGGCCGCAAGAGATATCTTCGACAAGCTCAAGTATAGAAAGAACGTGGTTTCTTGGAACTCCATGATAGCTGCTTATGCTCAGAGTGGACGCGGCAGGGAAGCTCTAGAACTATACGAGCTGATGAAAGAAGAGGGGGTCCAGCCAGATGATATAACTTATGCTGGTGCTCTTGGAGCATGCACTAGCTATGGTGGATCAGCCAAAGGAGTAGAGATACACTCAAGAATAACGGAGAGCAAGATCAGGACGGACGTCTTCCTCGACACTGCGATTGTCAACATGTATGCGAAGTGTGGAGAACTGGAGACCGCCATGAGCTACTTCGAGAAGATGCGAAGGAAGAATGCTGTTACTTGGTCCGCAATGGTGGGAGCATTCATCCAACACGGCTACGATAGAGAAGCTCTAGATCTGTACCTAAGGATGGTCTCAGAAGGATTTCAGCCGAGTGAAATCACACTTGCCGGGGCCTTAGCAGCGTGCTCGAGGATCGGTGCTCTCCAAGAAGGAAAAGCTATACATTCGAGGATACAGGCAACGGAGACGCTCCAAAACTGCCTCTTTCTTCAAAACTCGCTGCTCAACATGTACGCGAAGTGCGGCTGCCTCGCCATCGCAAACACCATGTTCAGCAATCTCCAAAGGAGGGACTCGTTCTCGTGGAACACGATCATAGTCGGGCATGCACACCATGGAGACGTGGACGAAGTTCTCAGCTTGCACGGCGAGATGGTACAGGACGGTGTCGACCCGGACTATGTCACTTTCGCCTGCGTTCTACTCGCGTGTAGCCATGCGGGCCTGCTCGACAGAGGAAGGAGCCACTTCCTGTCTATGGAGATGGAGTTTGGAGTGGCCCACGACACCGAGCATTATCTCTGCATGGTCGATCTTCTTTCTCGAGCCGGACGAGTTGAGAGTGCTGAAGAGCTCGTCCACAGTATGCCGTATGAGCCTCCAGCCATGGGCTGGACTACTTTGCTCGGCTCTTCCGAGGTGCAAGCTGATCTCGATAGAGGGTCACGCTATGCCGAAGTTGCTGCTGGTCTGGAACCGGGCAGCAGTTCTTCCTACGTGTTGCTCTGGAACATTTACAGCCGCAGCAAGGTATGTCTTTGTTTGTTTTCTCTTCTCTTGGTGATGCTTTGTTGTATTTGCAGACGGACGCTTCCGGCCTGGAGCATTTGTTTTTATAACACTGCCAAAGGCGGATGTGTGTTCTGGGAGTGTTGGAATCACCAGGACTTGTAAGTTCGTATCAAGTTGATAGTTTTAATCGTTAACTTCACTGTGGAACAGGTTGCAAGGTCAATCATATGACGTTTACTTAGATGGGATGCTGGAGGACACTGGACGAAGCTGTCGAGCAGCTACACCAGCACGAGCCAGGAAAGCTTTTCGGTGCTTACAACACACTGATTCGAGAGTGCGGCAATGCCAGGTCGCTCTCTCATGGCAGGCAAGTCCACCAGCATATTGTTTCGACTGGGTATGGGGGGAATCAAGCACTGGGTGATCTGCTCGTCCAGATGTATGGAAGGTGTGGAAGCGTTCAAGATGCAAAGGCCACCTTCGACCAGCTACCCAGCAGGCAAGCTTCGTCTTGGAACTTCATGGTCAGAGCTTACGCACAGCAAAGGGATACCACCACAGAAGCGTTCGATGTTTTCGATCAGATGGTCTCTCAGGAACAACAGGTTGACGGATCCACTTTAGCGAGAGTTCTTGCTCTGTGCCGCGGGCTCGGGGATCTAGAACGAGGCAAAGCACTTCACGAGCAGGCTGTTAACTCTGGGCTTGCAAACAATCCAGTCGTTCAGAAGGCCCTGGTGAGCATGTACTCCAAGTGCAAGGCTTTGGAGAAGGCTAAAGAAATCTTTGAGAAGAGCTCCAAGCGAGAACTGGGAGTATGGAACGCGATGATCGTCGGGTATGCCCAGAATGGGCATCACTTAGAGGCACTGAAACTATACAAGAGAATGGAGCTGGAACCAAACGGGGTGACGATCTCCAGCATTCTCGGTGCGTGCTCAAACGTGGGAGAGCTTGAAGAAGGCAGGAAAATCTACGCGCGTGGGAAGCATTTAAAAGACTTGGTTGTCGATACTGCTGCTGTCAACATGTTTGGAAAGTGTGGAGATTTGGAGACTGCGAGGCAGATTTTCGATGGAATGGAGCTGAAAAACGAGGTGACTTGGAACTCTATGATGGCGGTCTATGTCTACCAGGGAAGAAGCCGAGACGCTCTTCATCTTTTTGAGAAGATGAAGTCCACAGGGATAAAACCATCGAGCTCTACATATGCTACGGTTGTCCATGCGTGCTCAGATCTCAGTGACGTCACGAAGGGAACGACCATCCACTCCGAGATTGTCAAGGCGAGCATTCGGCAAACAGTGATCTTGCAAACCGCGCTGGTGACCTTGTATGTCAGGCTCGGGATGCTAGACTTCGCGAGGGGACTGTTTGACAAAATGGAAGAAAAGAACGTGGTGGTCTACAACGTGATGATCTCGGCACTTTCACAAAGAGGACTTGGGAAGGAAGCTCTCGAGCTTTACAAGAAAATGGTTCACAAAGGTATTCGGCCCGAAGCTGCCACCTTTTGCAGTGCTCTTGGCGCTTGCTCGGGTGTGGCGGATTTGGAGGAGGGAAAGTTGATTGAGTTGGACATCAAGGCTGACGAGTGTAAAACGGACGTGAGAGTTCTAAACGCGCTGATGAGTATGTACGGGAGGTGTGGAAACTTGGAAGCTGCCAAGGACATCTTTGACACTCGAGACGAAAGGGACGAAATCTCGTGGAACGCCATGATCAGTGCTTACGCGAAGAACGGACAGGCTCGCAAGGCAGTCGATCTTTTCTATCAGATGGCAGAGCAGCAGGAGGTGGAAATGGGTGAAGTTACTTTCAGCACAGCCCTCTACGCATGCTCCATACTTGGGGAAGTTGACGAATGCAGGAAAATTCACAGGCTCTTGAGTACGAAGAAGAAGCTGGTGGCGAGTGTGGAGGTTAACGTATCGCTTATCAACATGTACAGCGAGTGCCAAAGGCTGGACCTTGCTGGAGGTGTTTTCGGGAAGAACTCGTGGCCTTGTCCCGGCCCCTGGCTCTCGATGGTTGCGGCTCTCGTGAAGAACGGCCGAGGTGACGAAGCTCTCGAGACCATGGAGAGAATGCAGCTAGAGGGATGGAAGCCCGAGGCTGTAACGTTTGGCCTGGTGCTAAGTTCGTGCTCGAGCTTGAGAGACGGACGGACCATCCACTCGATCGTGACAGACAATGGTTACGTGAGGCTCAGGCCTGTCGCGGACGGACTGCTGAGCATGTATTCCAGGTGTGGTGAGCTCCAGCAGGCCAGAGAGATTTTCGACGGCATGGAAGCGAGATCGGTGGTGACTTGGACGCTCATGATCTCGGCTTACGAGCAGCGAGGACTGTCTAGAGAAGCGCTCGATCTGTTTTACGCGATGAAAGACGTCGAGTCGGACGACATTCTGTACTCGACTGTGTTTGGAGCCTGTGCCACTCTTGGAGTTTTAGCCGAAGGAAGAGCTATCCACGAGCAGATCAAGGAGAGAAAAGTCCAACTGGGGGTGTTTGGAGCTACAGGACTTATGAACATGTACGCAAAGTGTGGGAAGATCCAGATAGCTCGGGACGTGTTCGAGGAGATGGGAACTTTCAGGACTTACGTCTCGTGGACGTCCATTATCACTGCGTACTCCCATCGTTCTCAAGCCGATGAAACTCTAGAACTCTCCAGGAGAATGGTCCAGGAAGGAGTGATGCCAGACGGGATTACCTTCATCAGCGTTTTGATGGCTACCAGCGAGAGCCCCGACTCAACGATGGAGAACTTCAGGTCCATGACTGGTGACTACTGCATCGAGCCAATGCTCGATCACTACGAGTGCTTGGTGGACGTCTTGAGCAGAGCTGGGTGGGCTCGAGAAGCGGAAGCTCTGGCTATGGCCATGCCTTTCACTCCCAGGCCTGTGACTTGGACAACGTTACTGGGCGCTTGCAAGCTGCATGGAGAGACGAAGAGAGGGGTCGAGGCTGCAAGGAGTCTGCTGGAACTTGGCTTCGAGTGTTCGAGCTCTTACGTGCTACTGTCCAACTTAGTTGCTGGCTAGCTTCGTCAAAGCTCCACCGCAATCCCATACATCCAGGTAACTTACATCGTATTTGAAAGCTTCATGTTTTTGTAATGTTTCCATGGATTTTACAGGCAGCGACCAGAGATGTCCAAGCAACGTTATCAGGGAGCTGCTTAAACAAGTCGCGAGCCTCACTCACCCATCCTACTCTTCCAAACAGATCGCTCAAGCAGTGGTAATGTTCTTCGGAAGCTTTTATTTCACATCCGTTTATCATGAAGCTAAAAAACTCGAGACTGTTCCGCAGGAGTCCCGCGTGGCTACACACCGAGAGAATGACTGTGAACGTGAGATCGTTTGGCATCAGGCCCTCAATGCTCATCATCCGAAACAGGTAAATGGCTTGCTTGGAATCACCCAGGGAGGAATAAGACGCGAGCATCACATTCCAGAGAATCGTGTCGCTGCGAGGAATACTGTCGAAGATCTTCCTAGCATCCACCAGACTGCCACAGCGAGCGTACGACTCGAGAAGAGCTGTAGCCACTTTCATCTCGGATCGAAGCTCGGAGCTCACAATTCTAGCGTGGATCGACTTTACCTCCGCCAGATCAAAGTTCACGCCACCCAGCAAGCTAACGAAGGTAACAACATTCGGAGCGATGGAAAACTTACTCTCCATTTCCATGAACGCAGTGAGAGCTTCTCTCTTCAAGCCGTGGCTGGCGTATGCCCCAATCAGAGTGTTCCAAGAAACAACATCTCGATTTTGAATCCTTTGGAAGAGATCGAGAGCTTCGTGGAGGTAACCATTTTGAGAGTACGCTGCAAGCATTGCATTCCAGGAAATCTCATTCTTCTCTGGCATGGTATCAAACATATGCTTCGCAGTTTCCACGTCTCCAAACTTTGCATGCATGTTGAGTAGCGCTGTTGCAACCATCACTTTGGTTTGTAAGCCATGGCTTTGGATGCACGAGTGGATGATTCTTCCATCTCTCTTTGCAACGTAGTTTGCGCAAACGTCCACAATGACGAGGAAGGTGAGCTCTGTCGGAGGAAAACCCTCCAAATCCATAAGCTTGAAGATAGCCAGAGCTCTCTCGCCATGCCCATTCCGGGCATACGTACTCAAGAGAGAATTCCAAGAGATTGAGTCCTTGCAAGACATTCTATCAAACAATGATTTTGCTTTTTTCACATCACCTTGTTGCGAGTACGCTGTTATCATAGTGTTCCAAGTTGTTGCATTCTTTGCAACCGCCTTCTCGAACAACACTTGTGCTTCATCAAGATGCCCAGATTGGGCATATGCAGCAATCATAATATTCCACGAGAAAACATTCGTGAAACAAATTTTATCGAACACCCTGCGTGCGCTGCTCAAGTCCCCACACCTCCCAAACGCCTGGACAAGCAAGTTTCCCAAAAAGGTGTTGAAAATCCTACCATTGTCATCCGAGATGTGGGCATTTAACTTGCGAAGAGAGGAGTCCTGCTTTGAGATTCCACACTGTTTAATGATCAATGCAAGTTCTTTCTTTAACTCTACTTTGGATTGTGAGGCCATTCTGTTACCATCTCTTGCTTTGATGAACCACCTTTTTTTTGCAAACTCAACAAATTGTTTAAGTAATGTAGACCAAAAGCATGCTTCTCTAGCTACAAATATGTTGGATTCGAAGACGCTCTTTCCCCATTTCACAAGGAGATGCTCAAAAGAGGGATCAATATTGTACGTGATTGAATTGGTGGGATTTGGAGGCTTGATCCTTGGGTGGGACTGCCATGGTTGCCATCAGGTGGCACTAGAAATCCTGGAATTCCACTCAGTCTGGCTGTCCCAGAGCTGATGGCCTGGCTGTGCCAGGAGCAATCAGCTCTGGGACGCTAGTATGTAATATTAGCAAAGAATGAGGGAAATCTTGGAATTCCACTCAAGATAACATATTATGTAAATGCGTTAAATCCCAAGATGAATATATGAATTACTAGAGGAAGCCTGTGCAGGAAATTATAGAACATTTTGCTAAAGACATCATAGCCAAGAAAATCGTAGAAGCTGACTCACACGTTGGAAAGATTGTGCTTAATTTTGTTGTAGATGTGACATATGCTAAAAATTCGAATTTCTACTGAAGAAACAAAGCCAAAAACTCAACCTAATAATGGCAATGAAGACTAGATTTTGTAAGTCCCAGCTAAGGAAACAAGCATATCCTGAAAAATGGGCGTAGAAAAGCATGAGATATTCTAATCTTGTTTGAATGTTATATCTGTTTTAGGATTTGAATTATTAACCTGATTTGACCACATTAAACCAAAAAGTAAGGGTTTAGAGATTTTATATTCAAAGTGATGAATACAAATTAATTTTATTTTACCAGTAATTATGAATGTGCATATCTTAATTACTGATAAAATAAATTTAATTAATATTAATTTCATATACTTATATTAGATATACTTATATACCTTGATATATTAGATATAAATGTGGTAATCACAAATTTATAGAACACTGATTTTTAAGCCCAGAAATGGTTAATAAGTTAAGTTTTATTATTGGCTCTAATTATTTTTATAAAAAATAAATTCTATTATTTTATTAGTATTTTTAGTTTTAAAATAAAGTGTTTCACAAAGTTTTAGTTAATAAAATTAGAGTATTCTAATTACATCATTTCTTTCTCTAAAACAAAATTTATTAAAAGGATTAATTACCAGATATAATATTATAAAAATATTAACTAATAATAAACACCAAATCAAACATATTTTATATAATATTAAATATTATTTATTTTTAAAATTTTAATTTTAATTTATAACTGATATATTTGTTAATATACATACCATGAGTAATTATCACACAAAGTTGTTACAAATATATAGCATAATAAGCTTTAGTTTTTTATATTATAATTTTATTATACACATCATCCAAAAACTATCATAATTGTTTTGATGAGGATGTGTGATTTACAACTCAAACATGAATACAAATTGTGTTCATACTTAAATATATAATTACTATTCTGATTTACATCTATAGTTTATTAGTTTTATTAAAATAAATTTTTAATTTTTTTTATAATAATCACTTGTTCTTTTCTATTTTTTATTCTAGAAATATCAATAAAGAACTTGAATTCAAAACATTTAATAATAAGAAATAGTAAAATAACAATATAGGGTGAAATCATAAATTTTTAAAATTTATAATAATAAAATAAAATATTACAAAGTCATGTAAAACTTGAGCACCATCTTGAACTTGAAAAACTTGGTCTCTAGGTTTAGCTTGGTATGTTTTATTCATTAGTGAATTATAAATAATTTATAAAATATTAAATATAAAAGTTTTAATCACTTTTCTTAAACTATTAAATGTAAATAATTTATTTTGGATATTTAATGTTGTGAGGGCCAAGTGTACGGCTACGATGCCGTATAGTAATATTAGCGTAGTGGATTTTGGTAGCCGTCGGATTGGTTTCAATCCGGACCACTCGCTCCTGTATATAAGCTAGGGTTTTTGGGTTAATTGATATGCACATTTCTGTATTCCCTTTCCATATTCCATGCACTTACATTGGTGGAGGTGAGGGGCACCTTTGATTGTCCCTGGGGAGTGCTTGGATTTGGGATTTCGGTTTAGATCTAGCTTTTGCATTGTCTAGATCTAGCTTTTTCCATTTCCTTTCTTTTGTTCTTTCCTTTCAGGATTTTGGTTTAGATCTAGCTTTTTGCATTGTCTAGATCTACCATTTCTTTCTAGCTTTTTGTCATTTCTCTTCTTTTGCTCTTTCTTTCTCATTCATTTTCATGGCCGATCCGCAATCTCCTCCTTTGACTCTAGAGCAGCAGTTGGTTCAATTGCTTGATGCTATGCGCCTGCAATTGAACAACCAAACTCAATTGATGGCGGCGTTCACGGCACATGGTACAACTCCTCCTGCTTTTGGTGCCAATCCTCGCGTTCGGCCGGAGTTCTTTCGTGGGAATCCTGGGGATGATGTGTACCATTAGTTCGATCACTTCACGGTGATTGCCACATATCATTCTTGGGATGATGCTCGGCGTTTGCGTGAGTTCCCCACATGTCTTCAAGGGACGGCATTGCAGTGGTACAATGGATTGAGCGCAGCTACTCGTGGCGATTGGAGTGTTCTTCCGGACGTCTTCAAACGCGCCTTCGGACACGCCGACGATTGTGATGATGCCTTCCAACAATTGCATCGTCTTCGCCAAGGGCCATCTGAGTCGGTGATGCAATTTGGCGTTCGTTTCCGAAGTCTTTTGCTTCGTGCGGAGCAGAATATGTCGGAGCGGATCAAGCTAGGAATGCTGTGGCCAGCACTTCGTCAAGATCTTGTCGGACTTGTGCATGCACTTGCTCCTGCCACTCTTGACGATGCTCTTCGCTTGGCACAACGTTATGAGACGTCGCCTCTTCCACTTCTTGCTACACGTCCTTCAGCTCCACTTCCTATGAGTGATGGTCCTGTTCCCATGGAGGTTGATGCTGCTGCTACTCGAGTCCAAGGACAAGGGCGAGGACGTGGTCGTGGCCGTGACATTCGTTGCTGGGCGTGTGATGAAGTTGGTCATACTTATCGGCGTTGTCGGCGCTTTCCGGATTGGCGACCTCCATTTCTTGGGTGGAGACCTTGGCGTCAGCAACGTCCCGTTGGTGCTGCTGCGGTGGAAGGTTTGGATACCGAGGTGCATTCGGGAAACGAGGAGTCGCGCGAGTAATGGAGGGACCTTGCGCGAATAAGTTAGTGACCCCTCCATCTTTCTTTTGGGAGTATCATCAAGGGGTTCACTCGGCACCGGTTCATCCAGTGTTTACTTTCCAAGCTCGTTTTTATAACAAGAGGTCTCCTATTCTTCTCTCCGTGTTGGTTGATACAGGTTCGAGTTTATCTTCTATTGCTCGACCTGTTGCCACACGTTGTCGTCTACACTTGCGTCGTGCGGCGGATCCAGTTTTCATTCTTTATGGCAACGGCCGTACACATGCATGTGCACGAGATGAGGCGGACCTGGTTGTGCGTGTGGGCGATCTCGAGCTTGAGTTGCAGTCGTTGCGGGTGGTGCCGAGTCAAGCTTTTGACCTCATTCTTGGTATGGATTGGTTGCAGCACAATCATGCCAAGTGTGACTTTGAGGCTTTTCCCCCTTGTCTCATACTTCCTTATGTTTCATCCATTCCTCTCACTTCTGTACCTCTTCGTCCCTCTACTTCTACCTCTGCTTCCATTACTTTTGTTCCACCATTATTTCCTCTTGTGTTTCCATCTTGTTCTGCTCTTCCCTTTTCTGATCCCTCCGATGATCTTTGTGTTGCAGCTGTTGATCAGCTCATGAAGGAGTATTCTGATCTCTTTGAATTTGACCTATCGTCTGGGGCCAAGATTGCCACACGTCATCCCATTCCAACCGGGGATGCTCGTCCAATCAAGGTTCCTGTTCGTCGTTGGTCACCCAAGGAGATCAAGATTTTACGTGCAAACGTCAAGGAGATGTTGGAGAAGGGTGTTATTCGGAAGTCGCGGAGTCCTTGGGCATGTGAACCTCATCTTGTGATGAAGCCTGATGGGAGTATTCGTTTCTGCATCGACTATCGTCCGTTAAATGAAGTGACGATCCCGGACGTGTACCCTCTTCCTCACACTGCTGATCTCTTGGATCGTCTGGGGCGAAGTCGTTGGTTCACCAAGCTAGATCTTGCTTCTGGGTATTGGCAAGTACCGATGGCTGAAGACGATATTCCTAAGACTGCTTTTCGTACACCATTTGGTTTGTACGAGTTTTTGGTGATGCCGTTTGGTTTGAACAATGCTCCAGCAACTTTTCAGCGAATGATGGACGAGGTTCTTTGCGATATGCCAGAGGTGACGGCTGACTTCATTGATGATGTCTTGATCCACTCGGAGGGGACGTGGGAGGAGCATGTTCGTGATGTTTGTAAAGTGTTGGATCGGCTACGCGACGTTGGTTTAAAGCTGAAGCGGTCGAAGTGCGTGTTTGGGTCCAAAGACACAACTTATCTTGGGTACCGTATTTCTCGTGAGGGTTTGCAAGTTGATCCTGACAAACTTGTGGCTGTTCTAAAGTTCCCTACTCCGAAGTGTGTGAATGATGTGCAGCACTTTTTGGGTAAGGTGCAGTATCTCGGTCGTTTTGTGGATCATCTTTCCGATCGCACTTTACCATTGCGAGCATTGCTGAAGTCATCAACGTCATCTTTCATCTGGTCTCCCGATTGTGAGCGGGCGTTCGTGAATCTCAAAGAGCTATTGACGACTCCTCCGGTTTTGGCATATCCTGACTACACTTGACCTTTTATTTTGCGCGTGGATGCTTCTGACATTGGTCTTGGAGGTGTGTTGATGCAAGAGAGCTCGAGTGTGCCTGGTCAGCGCCATCCCATTGCATACATAAGCCGTACATTACAACCAGCGGAGATGAACTACTCCACGACGAAGAAGGAGTGTTTAGCAGCAGTCTGGGGTTTCGAGAAACTTCATGCCTATCTACATGGTTCTCGGACGTTACTTG